GAGGAGGAGGAGGAGGAGGAGGAGGAGGAGGAGGAGGAGGAGGAGGAAGAAGAAGAAGAAGAAGAAGAAGAAGAAGAAGAAGAAGAAGAAGAAGAAGAAGAAGAAGAAGAAGAAGAAGAAGAAGAAGAAGAAGAGGAGGAGGAGGTAGAGGAAGAGGTAGAGGAAGAGGTAGAGGAAGAGGAAGAGGAAGAGGAAGAGGAAGAGGAGGAGGAGGATATTTGATGCACTGGCTTTCAAATTTATATACTGTTTCTTTATTAAAATAATTGTGTGTAAGCATCCTCTGAAGTGCAGTTGACACAATTGACACATAGAATCATGAAGTTTATTTAACACTTCTTTCCACATTTTAGCCTATATATAATTTTTTATAGGCTACTGTTTAATCGATAGTCACTGTTTAATTGATAAATTGCATAAATTTGCTCAAGGTAGAGTTCAGCGGTTCTCAACCTGTGGTCTGTGGACCCCTGGGGGCAGCGCAATGTCATCATGGGGTCCACGAAGGCTTGAAGAAATGTTATGATTTAAGTTAAGTTTTGGGGGGGTCTGTAGCCATGGTCCATGGCCACAAAAGGTAAGGGGACCATGGCGAACAAAAGGTTGAGAACCACTGGTCTTATTGTCTATCTTTACTTGTCCATTGATATTTTTTTAAGATTTATTATTTTTATGAGAATTCTAGTGCTTTAACACAAAATGTCCATGGCGCTGCAATAGGAATTTGTTTTTATCTATTCTCAAAGACCAATACTGAACAGAAAAAATTACATTTTCAATTAAAATATCCATAGTTATTTAAAGTTACTTAAATCAGTCTTAAAATGAAAATAATGATTAACAAGTAGATGCAGTTGTTCTATAAATAAATGCCAGAAACATTTGGACTAAATTGCCCATTTCATGTTGCTGGACTCAAGACACTCAGCTTTACTCCCCATTGAGCATGATAGCTAGGGCTTTTGGAAATAGTGGTTCAGTCATCTCTTAAAGTTCTCACAGTGTTCATCCCTTAGTTAGCTTCACTGTCCATACTGGAAACATCTAGATTACTCATGTGCAAATCCCTCAGTTGGAAAAAAAAAAAAAAAGAATTCCAGCAGTTTTTCAACCTGGCATTCTGTACATAATCTGGGATTGTAACTCCCAGCTATTATGACCTTTCACCCTGCTGATGAATTTCAGTCCCAACTGGGTGGATAATTTGGAAAGGTGGAAGTGGGAAAAAGAATTGGTGATTTGGTCCTCAAAATTACACATGATTTAGAGAATCCTGGCCATTGGAAACACCATCTTTGTGCAGAAAGCCTGAAGGAATTTTCGATGGAAAAATCTTTAAAAAGACACAGAAACACCAATGCTGTCATTTGTTTCATGATTGGTTACTTCAAGAAATAAAAAGTCATTAAGAGTTCCAGTGCAGTACTCTTTTTTGTTTAATCTTAATTTTAAAAAAAATCTAATTATGTCTTATTGCTCTTTTCCTTCCTTCTATTCTGCCAGATCAATTTGCATTCTGTCGTTATATGATTGACATGTTTGCACACGGGAATTTGTACACAGGTACTTGAAATGAATGTTGTCAATGAAGTGTTTGGTTTTTCTCAGAGCTTCTACTATTCTGTGCTCTTCAAACATCTCTCTGTGTGTTTGTGTGTGTGTGTGTGTTGTTAAACATGGACACTGAAAGTGCACAGGTTAAATAAAGCGTATTAACAAATGGCTTGATCCATTAAAGCTTCTAATAAATTGTTCTGTAGTTGCATGCATTTAAGTTAATATCAATATAAAAAGATAAAATCAGTGGAGATTTGATAAAGAAGGAAGATACTTTTTTTTTAGCAGATGGCATACTGATTGTTTGCATGATGCTTTTATGCCATATAAAAGATTAAATATTTACTTGATGTAAGGCTTCATTTGTATTTTCTTAAGATAGAAAACATCAAAAGACTGATTAAAAAAATCAAAAGCAAGGACAAGTATCTCATGAAAATATTTTGAACCAGTTGGAGTTTTTAGGATAGAAAAAAGTGATTATGTGGGGGGGGGGAATTATACTGGTATATAACACCCCCCCTCTCCAAAAAAGTCCCAGGACCATAGACAAAATTTCCTTTCTGTAGAGTTTGCTAAAGCTTTCTGACCATAACTGATGATAATTAACACCATCATGTCATCAATTTTGAAATCGGTAACAAGTGATAAAACTGTATTCAAAGCCAAAAATTAGAAATATAACATTTTTAAAAATCCAAAAGAAACATCCAAATATTTCCCACCCAAACCCATTCCCTACCATCTATTTTGCGGCTCTGAAACTTGTGGCATTGTGATAATAAGGACATGATTGTTTCTGGGAGAAAAAGGGTATGGTGACTTGCTAAAACATCTTAGGAAATTAATTATAGTCAAGATAAATTATGAATTAATTTAAAGTGTGTGAAACTTTAAAGACATTCAAATCCTCTACGTAATAAATGTATTATTGATCTTGATGAGATTCAAGGTTCTTTTAGGGAAAGGGATATAATTAGCAATGCTAATGTTTGTTGATAAAATTAAAATACATTGTTCTGCCTCATGTAGGATGTACATCCACTTCCTCTTCTGACATGGCATTTCTTCCATATCTTTTCTTAGCATGCTATTTTCAAAACAAGCAGAAATGAATGTTTTTCTGAGTATTGCCAGTTTAATAAATCAAGAAGGTAAATGTATTGCTTTCGTACCTGGGCATTTTAAAATGAGTTGCTAATGTTAAAAAAATCCTACAGAAATCTCTTTAAGGTTTGTTTCTCAATAATTATATTCTCAAAGAGAAAATAATTCAAAAGATGCAATGAAGTACATTTCTAAGAATGTAGTTCTTATCCCAACTAAGATAAAGTAAAAGGACTTAAGCAAATTGTTTCTTATTGTTTAGAATGTCAAGACCAAACTCCAATCCACTTCTGAGATATTCTGACAGTTCCCACAACCATTAGCCAAATTAGATAAGGCTGATAAGGGTTGAAGAATGCTAGAGGACAGCAGTTTATTTAACTCCACTATAAATAAAAGGTCTGTTGACCTAACCATTCACATGGTTTGGGTAGGAGGGCTATGCATGTTTTATAAACATAGAAATTGAGAAAATTAATTAAAAGCAATTAATGATTAAAAGCAATTAATCATGATGTGGTTATAGTTACCTAATTCCCACGGTGAATTAGCTCTATGAATCTGAGAGTTAATTGTCCCTTCTGACTCCTTTTATTGGGGCAAAGACCTAGAATTTTCCATGAAAATGTAACCTTACAGAGTCATAAAGTTGGAAGGGTCTGCTGTGGTCATATGGTTCAATGTCTTGCCTCTCTATATTCTTTGTGGCTATTTTGGTCTTTATCCTCCCTCAATTCTAATGGGTTTGAAAAAAGGGACAAAAATGGGAACGAATTGTTCCTTCTAAACTTGTCAATAGCAACTCTACCATCAATCATTGTGCCACCACAATTGAAGAAGGGGGAAAAAACAGGAAGTGGGCAGTAAATAATAGCCTCCTGGCCTTTTTGTGGTAGCTGCATGCTACTGCGTATTCTGAATAGTGTGCTGTTGTGTTGCTGCTGCACAAAGTTGAGGTAATTGGTTCTGTATTGCTTACATTTCAAAAGCAAATGAATGTGTTTTGGTAGAGTTCATTCACTAGATTCCAAAATGTAGATGATAACAATGGATCACAGTGAATAAAAATGTTTTTCATGGATTTTATAAAATCTCACATGCTGCCATGTACATAATTTAGGTTACTCTTTAGAATTCTTGTGAGCTCTAACTGTAGAATATATATTCCTGTTTTTCCATTCAGCAAATATAATTTTACTTTATGATGGCCAGTTATGTGTAGAAAATTCTTTCCGTTGTACTTCTATATGCAAAGGGTTTTGTAATATGCATAATGCTGTGCAAAACTGAGGGAAATGATACTTCATCTTTTACAACGATACTTCAGGTTCTAGAGATAAATCTGGAGAATCTTTAAACTTGAAGTTGTTTGTAAATAATAACTTCACTAATTCTTGACCATCATTTTCATCTTCAAGATATTTATGTTTATTTTAGATGGAAGAAATTTTTCATTTCCTAGTGATACAAAATTCATTTTAACTTGTCTGTTGATCTTCTGATCAGTAAGAACAAGTCTCCATCTTGTTGCCAGTGCGTCAGGGCACAAAACTGTTGAACTTGCAGAAAAATAACCAGAGACTGTCCAACATGGGGGGAAAAACATGGGTATCATGTTTCTCATTCATGAAGCCACTTGGTTCCTCATGTTTCTCATATGCCCATGACTCTTGCTTGAATCAGTCTATTTAGCAAGCATAAAATAAAAATTGGACACTATTACTGCGTTTTTCTGAATAACAATAATATTTTCCATTTGAAGTGTTATTCCATACACATACCCAGTCAAGAACTAATAAATAGGTTTCTCAATGTAAGACAGTTCTATCCAAAAACACTGAGCTGAGTCAGATGTTCATTCTGTAGCCCTTGTCAGCTTGGACAAGGTGTAAGCCCAGGAAAAATTTCAATTACCCCTTGTGTTTGTTGATAATCACCCATTAAATTACTTCAAATGTTTTCCATACTTAGCCCATTCTCCTGCAATCTATAGAACGTTTAATATACCAAAAAAAATGAATATTTATCTTCCAGGATTGAAACTTTCCAACTTTCCTGCACATAGATCTGCTTTGACACATTGATCTAGACTGCAATCTTATCTATACCCACTCAAGAGTAAGTTTCACTGAGTTTAATAGGGTTTATTCCAAAGAAAATTAATCAAATATTTAAGCCATTACAGATAGTCCTTGACTTGTGACCATAGTTGTGCCCAAAATTTATGTTGTTAAATGAGACATTTGTTAAATGAGTTTTGCCTCATTTTACGACCACAGTTGTCACAATTGTTAAGTGAATCACTGCAGTTGATAAGTTAGTAACATGGTTGTTAAGTGAATCTGGCTTCCCCATTGATTTTGCTGATCATGACCTTGGGAAACAGCAACAGTCATAAGTGTGAACCAGTTGCCAAGCATCTGAACTTTGATCACATGATCAAGGGGATGCTACAAAGGTTGTAAGTGTGGAAAACGGTCATACGTCACTTTTTTCAGTGCCGTTGTATGTCACTAAATGAACTATTGTAAAGCGAGGACTACCTGTACACATGAGGCAGCACTTGGGGATGCAGTTCCAAATGGCAGCAGAAAAAGCTCATTTCCTAGGTCCCACCGGAACCTCTTAGCAAACAGGACCTCCACAATGCCTCTCCTGGCAAATCAGATGGAACAGGTAGCTGTCATCAGAGAGAGGACATCCTCAGATAACCTGGCTCCATGCCATGTAGGACTTTCAAGGACAAAACCAGTACCTTGAATGGTTATCTGGAAACAAATGGGTAACCAGTGCAGCTCTCGAACAGAGGTAGAATGTGTGTCCTTTCAAGGACATATATCACTGCCCGTGTTTCTGCATTTGCGCACCAGGGCAGCCCCATGTAGAACGCATTACAGTAATTCATTTGGGAGGTGACCAGCATATGAGTGACTGTGAGCAAAGCCCCATCATCCAGGAATGGGCACACCTAGCACACAACACAAAGATACAGAAAGGGAGGAGAAATTCAAAACAAATGGAGAAATTATGAAAACACACATAAATGTCTCTGATTTGGCAGCCAGCTGTAGAAAACAGCTGAAATGAATTTATAGATAGAAACAAATGAGACTAAGCATAACTAAAATGGAAATACTCTCCTTCTGCTACTCAACTACATGCCTTCCTTTAATTATGCACCATGCTTTAATTATGCATCTGTGGGGAATTTTAAAAAAATTTAAGTATGGAGGGAGCAATATTCATTAAGACCACAGTACATGGGGAGGGGAAGTTTAATTCTATCAAAATTGCCCTCCTGCTGTAATTAGCAATAGGGAAACAAGTTCTCACTAGTGCCATTGAGAGCCTTTTCTAGTTTAAATTGCAGTGCTTGGAGTAGTTTTTATCAGGATAATGACTGGAGAAGAAGAATTACATTTGTCCTCCCCCTATCCACATTAATTTTTTTTAATTTCCTGAATTGCTTGAAAGACACTGAATTAACTCAATCACTGTTGCTCAGCCTATTCTACCTAGGAGATTGCTATGAAGATAAAATATGGGTGATATTATCCTGGCACCATGGAGGAAAGATAGGATATGTATTGCTAATTGCACATCAATAAAGAGGGATAACAAGGAAATGATTTGCTTTGCAATTTAATGCAATATTATTGAATTCTGCCCTTTGAACCATTATGTGAAATGTGTTTTCATTTTGGTATTCACTTTCCTGAATTGTGTTATGCTTTTCCCAAAGAAAAGTTACATACAGGAATTTACATAACTGTTATATCTATGCTGTGTCTATTTAGTTTTCAGCTGAGCAGGAAACCCACCCTTAACAATCAAATGTCATCCAATATTGATGGCAAAAATTATATACCGTGTTTCTCATATAATAAGGCCGGGTCTTA